TTATTTTATTTTATTTTATTTTATTTTATTTTATTTTATTTTATTTTATTTTATTTTATTTTATTTTATTTTATTTTATTTTATTTTATTTATTTTACTAAAATTGCTGTTCCTCCCCGCTGCAGGCAGGTCTGCCTGGGTTTGGAGGTGCCAGGGTGCCTTCTGCCTGCAGTAGCCCCAGCCCTGCCCACGACCACGGTCAGGCTTCCCCCCCTTTGCCGTGAGCCTGGTGAGGAATTTGGTTTCTGTCCCTGGCAGAGGCTCGTTGTTATTAATATCCCTCGTTATTTATTCTGCTGTGGCAGTGAATGGCTGTAACTGGGTTGCTGCAAACAACCGGGGCTGCTCTTTCTTGCTTTAATCCCTGAAACTTTTGGCAATTTGAGCCTCCTCAGGCCAGGGTCACCCACGGGGTGACCGCTTGGTCTTTAAAACAAAATAATGCTGCTGCGGTCCCCCAAAATTAAAGAGTGGTGGTGAGATGCTCCCAGCAGCCGGGAGCAACGCCCCGGTGGGGAACCAGCACAGAGCTGTGTGCAGGGAGGGGGAAACGGGGGGCAAAAAATGGGATTTGGGGAAATGGGATTTGTTTGGTGCTCAGAGTGTGTTTGCCAGGACAGGAGGACCCAGGGGATTTTGGCAGTAGCCTGGCAGAGCGCGGCAGTGAGATCTGCTCCTGTGGGGAGGGGGGCACGGGGCAGGGCCCCCCCGCTTTAAATAGAAAGAAATCGGTGTGTGTGCGATGCCTGTGCAGCGAGGTGAGATGCAGAGCGGCACAGGGCTGCTTGGATTCGAGCAGAGCCCCGTGCTGGGCCCAGGACTTCAGTCTGGGCAGACCATTTTCACTTTTGTTTTTGTGATTTTTTCCCAAGTTAAAGCCATCGGCCAGTGCGGATTTGGGAGCAGGACTGGCAAGGTTCACCCAACCTGCAGTTCAGTTCTGCAGCAAGACCAGAAAGTGAAAATGGCTGGAAACAGAGAAAGGAGAAGTGATGTATTTTTTTCCCCCCATGGCAGCTGAGCCTGACGCGGGGCGCGGAGGAGCAGCCTGCGCTGTGCTGGGGTTGGTGCTGCCCGCGTTATCCCGGGGAGCCAAACAAGCTGGGAAACACGCTGGGCAGGATTGTCCTTGGTCGGGTGTTTTTGGGGCCGGCCATGGCAGGAGGGGACAGGGACAGGGACGGGGCCTTTGTTTCTCCTCCCGGCTTTGTTTCCCAACAGCCCCATTGATGAAGCCCCATGTGGCCAAACAGCCCTGGACCCACCCCGAAACAGTCTTTTTAATTTGATTAAACAGCTCTTTCCTTCTCACTCAGCGAAGCAGGGCAGATTTAACACTCACCAGCGCGGTATTTCCCTGTAGCCCTGTTCTGGGGACAAATTCCTAAATCACCTGATAAATTATAGGCTTAAAGCTGCCGCTTTTGAGAGTGTGAGCCCTGAGTTTGCAGGACACGGTGATGCTGGTGCTGTGGGATGCATGTGCTGCAGATGGGGGTGCACACGTGTTATTTGGTATCCCTACGGGGTTTTTTTAGCCATGTTTCAGGCCTGGGAGGAGATCTGATGGGGAAATGGGTGCCCGGTGTTTGGGAGAAGCTGCATCTCTGCAAGGCCCCCCCTGAAAAGAAGGGGTTTGAAATCACTCCCTGCTTCTTCAGCTCAGCAGGGCTCTGCAAAACTGCAGGCGCTGATCTCATCTGCCCCCAAAGCGCAGCCACCTCTGGGGGGCACGTGGGGGGCCAGAGGGTGGCCCCAAGGGGGAGGACATCTCGTCCCACACTGCCCCACATCCCAGCAACTGCCACGGAGCCCCACAAAGCTGCGTTCAGGATTTGGGTGCCTAATTCCTGCTAATTTCCCTGGGAAAGGGGAAACCGGATCCTCTAAGGCAGCTCTGGAAAATATCTCAGCCCAGGTTGCTGGGTAATTGGAAGGGCTACCCGGCTAATTAAGAACGTGGTGTGTTTGTCACCTCCAAAGCCCTCTTGAACAACAGTTAATTAATCCGCGTGGTTCTGGGCCTTGCAGAGACAGCTGCCGGTACCCACATTTCACAGATGGGGAAACGTGTGGGTCAGAGGGGGTGAGACTTGTTCAAGGCCAGGTGAAGAGCACATTTCACTGGTGTTAGTGGCTGGTCTGGTGCCCAGGCTGCACCGTGTCTTCTTGGATGCTTTTACTCAGCACTGGTGGGATTTTACTGGCCAGGGAGGTTTTGTGTTGTGCCTGAAGCATCCCCCGCGCACCAACCCGGTCCTGGCTGCATCACAAAGAGCGTTTGCTGAAGATCCTTCAAAAATGCAAAGTCACAGTCAGGACCCAGCTTGCTCTGAAGCTGAGTTTTCTCATTTCAAGCATCCTGGGGTTGATGGAGGGAGGGGGCACGTATTTAGCTCCTCTCTATGTAGGAGCCCCTGTCCCTGCAGCCTCTCAGATGCTCCCGGTGTCTCCGGGGAGGGGACATGTCTCAGCTGGTGTAGGGGGTGCCTGAGATTGGGCAGGAGGACAGCAGCAAGGTCTGACCCAGGTTACTGCTTTGGTCGTGTCCATCTTCCAGTGCAGGAGCTGGCTGAGCTCTGCAAGGCCAGGACCAACGTTCAAGGCACTGTGGGACGCAGCGTCCCTCCAGCCGCCGCAGGGATGAGTGGACACCCCCTGTGTTTCCACCCATTCCTGCTCTTTCTCTGCAAGATAAGTGATGCCTGCACAAGCAAGAAGGCTCTGCAGATGGCTCCAAGATGATTAACTGCCTTCGTTAATTCTTGCCCAGTGCAATACGGTGACCATCACATTTGTCATGCTCCACGTTTCTGACTTTCCCAAGGCACCGCAGGGCTGAACTCCTCCTCCGGGGAGGACATCTCTGGTGTGGAGCATCCTGAGACCACAGCCCTCAGGAAGGGCTTTCCTGAGATTCGCTATGTCCTGAAGAGTTTCCAGCAGACAGGAAGAAATACTTCTTCCTCCGTGAAGCAAAAGGACTTGCCCAGGTCCATGCAGTAGTGGAGTGGGGCACACAGGGCCCATCCTCCCTCTCATTGCCGTTACCTCAGAGCTTGTGTGTAAATCCCTGCTGAAATATTTATTACTGGCTGCAATCAATAATTAGCCCCCAGGAAAAGACATTTCTAGCAGTTGGCTCCTCCACTTGCTTTTGGAGGGCAGTGTGGGTCCAGGTCGATGAGCGTCTGCCCCCGTCTGCACCCGGGGTGGGGGGAAATGGGGTGGAAATGGAGGGGCTGAGTGCTGGGGGAAGGGGTCCTGTGGGTGTCCATGGGTCTCCTTGGAGCCCACCCTGGGGCAAAGTTGGAGGGAAAGGCATAAAATGATGCCTTATGCCTGTCCCAACCCTCCAGCATCGAGGGGCCCGGGTTGACAGAGTGTGGGTATCCTTTGTGCCTGCAGAGAAGTGGCCAAATCTGCCTGGACCAAGCCAAACGTGTCAGGTGCTGCCTTGTTTTGAAAGCTCTGCTGGGAAGTCACCCCTGGGATGACTTGGCTGCCTGGGCGCGGAGTCACAAGGCTGGTGCTGGCACTGCCATGCACTCGCTGGGTGTTTCCCCCCTGCCTGTCCCACCAGCCACGCTGCCGGACGCGGCGTTTTGTGTTTGCAACCAGGAGGAGATGGGTGCTGGATCCCCTGACTCCAGGAGCTGGGGATTTAGAGGAGAGCTTGGCTGCAGCATGGAGCAGCTCCAAGCCATGCCAGAGGAACCAGAGGTGAAGCCAACTCCATCCCCACAGCACCACGGTTCTGATGGGGGGATGGAGGCCACGTCAGGCATGGGCCCTGACGCCCTGATCAGCCAGAGCCACCATAGACCTGTCCCTGTCCTACGCGCGCTGTGTCTCCTTCCTCCTGTCCACGGTCCCTAAAAAGCCTGGCTTCAGGGATGCTGAGCACCCTTGGGTGCTGATCTGCTGCCTTCCACGCTGCGGATCCCCCTCGATTCCAGAAGCCAGGCTGAATTATTCTGGAGAAGAGGAGGCTGAGGGGAGACCTCCTGGCCCTCGGCAACTCCCTGCCAGGAGGGGGCAGAGAGGGGGGATGAGTCTCTGGAGCCAAGGCCCCAGCGCCAGGCCCCGAGGGAATGGCCTCAAGCTGCCCAGGGCAGGGTCAGGCTGGCTCTGAGGAAGGATTTCTGTGCAGAAGGGGCTGTTGGGCGTTGGAATGGGCTGCCCAGGGCAGGGGGGAGTCCCCGGGATCCCTGGAGGGGTTGAAGAGTCGGGCTGAGCCAGCGCTGAGGG